AATGACAGTTCCAGTGCTGTATTTTAATTTATTATTTCCAATCATTATAATATTTTTACTTTGAAATAATGAAAATATGCATTTATAATCAAATATACAATATAAAATTTGATTAATTGCATCTGGGTACTCTGATTAGTATAGAAATTTGATAAACTTTTTGAAACTGCATGCCAAGAAAATATGCAACTGCATAAAAATCCAAGCCTTGCTTATAACGATCTATTTGCCACAGTATCATCAGATCAATAAAGTGAAAATATTGTTAAATTAAAATTAATATAACTTGCTTAAAAAGAATTAACCGCCATGGAAATAGGTCGATCGAATAAGTCGATCCGTTCTGAGGGAATGTACTGGCACATCTGCATTTAAAATATGATCCCTCAGTGTGGATATGATTATTTTCATAATCGATTTTTTTTTCCATTGAATAACGTTTTTAGTTTTTCAAGTACTGAAAATTTTGATTCATCGCATATGATAACGAACTTCAACATGGTATGATATAAATCTAACAAACAATTGAGAATACTTGGAATATAATAATATTGGGTATGGAAATAAGTCCATTTAGTTTTTCTGTTTATTTTTATATTACTATGATACACTCGTTACCAAATGAATTAGTCCTTAACATGGTTTGTTTATTCTGTTTGTAATATATCAACAACTAGAATATGTGCTTAGTTAGGATTCTCGTATCTAAAAATTACAGTATTATCTCTATAGTAATAAGCTAATGAGTAACTGCAAGACTTTTGTGAGACTCTTGCGCAAGACCAAGACTGAGTTTGCAAGACCAAGACTCTTCTCGATCTCGCATTGGGCAACATTAGTCGGTGTAGAAAAAGAAATAAACTATAACTAATGTGACCAAATTATGTGTTTTTATTGTTATTAATAGAGTGAAATCCTTACTTACAACTTTAAATAAATACGTTGAATTAAATCTGTTTATTTGAATGAAGGTTCATGATTCTAAGTGACCTCTTCTGCCAGACTCCTACTTGCCTCGTATTTAATTTTGTCTGAGGGTGGTAAAATATTTATTTTCCACCAGAGGACAATTTTTAAAGTTTCATACAGCATAGTACCACCTGGCCCTCGACATTTAATAAAACAAGCAAATGAAGTAATTACACGGCGATTGGCTCTAATGATACCTTCCTGTAAGTGGCTAAGGAATAGATAATGCTGTATGCTTATAGGTTTAATTATTGCTACCGAAAAACCCTTCAACTTGCACCGCTCAATAATACATATTCTGGGAATGGCAATAATTACCCTTAAAGATCAGACAATTAAGTACTTTTTGCTCTAATGATCTGTTTCAATGTGGAAAGAAGGGCCTAATGATATCTAATAACTGTTAACGTTCTCAGTCATCATTGATACCGTTTACAACTTCAAGAAGACATTGTCGTTATTTCTCTAGTCACTATATTATACTTAGCAAAGAATAATTTAGGAACCTCTCCAAAAATTCATTTAATATTGAAAAGTTAAAAATATTTTCGTATAGTATAAATGTGTATATATATATATATATATATATATATATATATATATATATATATATATATATATAGTATAGTATAGTATATATAGTATACAAATATAGTATATAGTATACAAGTATAGTATAGTAGTAGTATATATATATATATATATATATATATATATATATATATATATATATATATAGTATAGTATATATAGTATACAAATATAGTATATAGTATACAAGTATAGTATAGTAGTAGTAGTATATATATATATATATATATATATATATATATATATATATATATACGAGTTATAAAAAGTATCTTCTTTATTTACGAACAAAGTTATAAAGAACATATAAGGGACAAAAACATTCCGTTATAACATCAAGCTGTCTGAAGTTATATTAATTCGATTACTATTATCAGGAAAATTAAACAAAATATATTTAATATATTTTATGATGAAAAAGAACAAAAAAAAAATACATTTTCCGTTTTGATAATGTGTTTTTTCAAGATTTTTTTTAAATTATTTAAAATGGATTTGATTGTTAAAATAACTGATGACTTATTCTTTATGTAAACTAATGAGTTAGTTTTTAAAACTTTTTATGTTCAATGTTCTATTTAAAAATTTATTTATTCGTTTGTAAATTATGATTATTTAGTTATTTTAAGCTTTATATATATTCCAAAATGTTTCAAATCTTCCTACTTCCTCATTCCCACTTGAACTTCTAGGTTCCCTGATTCATATTGAAGATAAGGAGAAGAAGAAGTCTTTTTAATTATCAAAATTGCATATCAATTATAAAACAATACAAAATAATATTTTTGGATTTAAAACTAAAAATCAGACGTGCTACATGGTCTGTTGACCGTTAGAGCCTGCGTTTTATAAAAAAATTATATTTCAATATATTTATGTACAACTAATTAATAAGAAAATAATAATAATTATAGTTACAATGCAAAAGTTATATAAATATTTGAATTACAAAAAGAGTGGTAGCGAAATTCTCCAATTTATTAATTGTTAAATTCTCTAGTGAGCATTATTCTGTAGGAAAAAGCAGACTTGCAATAATTTACCATTGCTCTTCAATTGTTTCCATTTATTAAATCTATTACTTGATCCCGAGATAAATTTCTAGACTTTAACTATTTAATTCTAAATTCAGAGGGAATCGGACAAACATGCAGGAAGTGATAGAGATCCTCTGTTTCGTTTGTATTACACATGCTACAAATATTATTTGTTTGCTTGACGTGTTTATAATTCAAGTTCAAAACATTAGCTCTAATTTTAAATACCCATCTGATCACCTTCAATGAGCTTTTGTCATCAATATAATTTATTGAAGTTAAATGAAGATAAAAAGTAAATGTTTTAGAATTGTGAACTTGAATTACATATTGATTATATATGTCTTTATGAATTTGCGGTCTTAATAAATATAAATTAGCTCTCCATAGTTCAATATCATCACAGTTATATTTATTTATGTTGAAGTTTAATCCGTGCAGTTCTATTCTGATTCCTATTGTTGTTTTTTTTTATTAACAAATACTGGAAACCTTGTTGAAATAGAAAGCCACTAAACTTTAATTTATTTGATTATTAAATAATACACCATTCTATCACTTGGACAACGATTATAGGAATGTAAGATCACATTCACACTTCATGTTCAAAAAAATAAATAAACAGAAGCGAAATGACAATTAAATAATAATCAAAAAGTATATACAATAAATAAAATAAAATAACTTAAGATAAGTAAAGTCAATTATTAAATTAATTTTAATAAAACGCCTGGTCTGTCTCGATCACACAGAATGCTAAAAATGAACGCTTGTATAAAATAGAATACTGAAGCATCAACTCGCAATACAGAATGCAATATTTAAAAGATAAATATTCTAAACCACATAACAAAACACATGTTTACTCATTAAATCAAAATGAAACCGAAACCATATATTTTTTCTGCCAATTAAAATTTCTAAAGAAATAGTTCCAAAATTTCTTATATACGTTTATCAAGATATATCCGCATAATATCATATATATTTTAGTTTGAATAAAATGACTGCCGTTTATGATGAATTCGTATTAAAAAAAAATAACTACTCAATAATTTTAATTTTGATATATTCATCTTCTTATATAAAAAATTCAAATTGTATGTTAATATAATATAAAGAAGTAGGAGGATTCTCAGCGGAACAAACATAAAGTCTTTAACTCTTAAACTGAAAATACACATAGAAAATATAATTCAATTTAATTCATCAATTTAACTTACTTTTTTTTTTTTAAATCACTTTGCATTTTCTTGAAGTATAAAAAATATTTAAAAGAGTTATTGATCATTTTCATCAATTCCACTACAATCTTTAATATTTTTGTGTTTATTTGGATTATCATTTTTTAAAATAAATTAGAATCAGCAATGAGCCATAATATTTTTGTAATTAGCGCTCTGATATTGGTAATTTTTATTGGCTTCAATCGTATCATTGGTAATGGTAATGATATTGGCAATATAGGAAATATAATTTTTTTTTTTGTTACCTTTAGATTTTGCTCAGTCATAAACAAAATATTTAAAAAGTGTTAGTAATCAGTTTCAACAATTCCATAACAAACTTTAATATTTATTGTGATAATACCAGAATATCAATTAAAATCAGCACTGCGCCATAATATTTTTTGAATCATAATTTGTTAATAAATAATACTTCTTACTTCCTACCTTTAATTGTTATTGAAGACCGATTTTTTTATTTTTCTAGAATTTAATTAGAATAGACAATATAACGGTTTTGTTTGGATATCTGATGGAAAATACTAAATGTTGACCGCAATGAACTCTCAGGAAATATCTGACTGGCATGTACCGATGTAATTTCGTTGAGACCATTTTTCCTTAAAGTTTTAATTTAAGAGCCGGAGTCTTGTAAGATGGTATCTGAAGGGGTAGCACGAAAGATATATTTCATCATTAGGGGCTAATGGCGAGTTAGGAGCGATCTGTTGATACCAGATGACTCGGCCAGATTCGGGCGAGGTGTGCTTCATGACGTGATGTGTATTTGATGCAGTTATAATGTTGATTGACCGCCCTTGATAAGAAGACAACGGTGACAGGTGGAGGGGATGATAAGAGGAGGCGTGGCGAGGCTCATGCTGGATAGCAAGTGGAGGGGGGAATCGATGGGTGGTGGGGGAAGCTTGCGCGAGTCACCGCCCCCCGCCCCTCGTCTATAAAAGCCCGTGTTGCCTCCTCTGGGGGACACAAACCGCTGTTGTGTTCGGTTTGGTTCAGTTTTCCATTTTTTCGTTTTAGTTTTTTCGCCTTTCCTCTCCTTCTCTTCTCCTTCCGTTTCGCCCCCTTCCTGTTAGAGCACCCCCGCTTCTTCATCCCCACTTCAAGAAAATTGGACCCAAAATAGAAATTCAGCGACTGTGATGAAGGACGCGACATGCCGAGGTGCCTGATGGCGAAGAAGTGGAAGACATACCCGTGGACGGAGGAGAGGCCGCTGGATGATGAGGACGAGGAAATTGACGTGGTTGGAGACACGGCGGGTGACACCCAGAGCTGGGGCCCCGCGTCCCCGACGGCAGCGGCCACCGCTCCGAGCCCACCACCCCCGCACGTCACCGTTCCGGACAGAGTGCCGCTCATATATAACGGTAAGAGACTTATATAAACATATATACTTTTTACAAATCTGTTCAGTGAGGCGTTGAAATCATTTATTTGTAAGCGTGGCCGCCCTTTGACAGCCCACGTGGGTACTACGCGACTTACTACCATTGTAGTAGGCTATTCACCGTCTCCCGCATGTCCGGTGTAGTTACATAACAATTTCATTGCTATTTGATTACTTCTGTGATATCAGGCGTATAACTTCATATTGGAGTGTTCTATTTATTAAAATTATCATATCGACATGTTATTAATCTTATTTTAAATACTGACCTTATTTAATATTTCCTATTTTTTATATTCAAGAATAATTTTTTGATTCAATTTAGTCCAATCATTTTTTAAGACTGATATAAACGAAAAAATATTTTAATTCACCTGAACTGTGTTAGATTTTTTTAAACTAACCTGCATAATTGTCTAACGTTTCAAATGATTTCCATACTTATCTGATTATTATCATTGTTTTGTTTTTTTTGCCTTTTTTTAGTACAACTTCCTTCATTCAATAAATTACCAATTTAATACATCCAAGATCACTGAATGTATTAAACCTTTAATACATCACTCAACGATATTTCAATCTCTAAATTTGATGTGCAATTTCTTAATTATGTAACTGTTGCGTTTCGGGATATTCTTTGTTGTAAATGGTTAAAATTTAAAACTTATGTATTTTGGATTTAATTTTAATATTATTAATTGGGTTATATAATTGTTTCTGCCGTTAAACTATTACAAGGATAAAGCGTAAACAAATTTAATTTTTATTGATGATTTTGAACATTTCCATGTCATATTTACAAGTTTTCCTGATAACATTAACGATGTGACATTTACAAAAATATATACATAAAATAAAATCTAATTTAAAAAAAAAAATAAAAAAAAAACAATAAAGTGGAAGCCTCCCTAAGGATTGCGGTGTTGGTATAAAAGCCTTATCGGATTGCCCCCACCCCTAGAGATTTGCCCCCTTCCCCCACCACCCCGGAATGCAAACTCAACCCCCGCTAGAGCGCCAGTCGCTCAGGAGACACTCTAGGGGTAAGTCCGTGTCGGTCCAGCCCCCCGCAAGCCCCTAAGCGGTGAGTCATTTTCTCATATTTTTGTTTTTCATTTAATTATTTAACAATATTACTAATTTTAAAACATTTTTATCGTTACTACTTAATCAAGCCACTCTTTCATCATCTTTCATAAGCATCGATTCCGATGCGTGAGGCAGGACTATAATCTATGTTCGTGTTTTTTTTTAATTCTCTGTTTAAGTTTAAAATTTCAATCAGTATTATCTAGTCATTTTTGTTTTATAAGGTTTATTTCTTCATATGTGTAACGACGTACGTTCCTTCAGTCTTTATTTGCTAAAAATAGAATGCAAAATATAATTTCAAACTAAATAATTTAAAATTTCATAAATCCCTTTGTTAAAAGCTTTGTTATCTTTGTAAAAAAATGAAATTTTTTTCAACTTATTTTCTTTGCATGAAATTTATCTTTTTTCTACACTTCTTAATTTAGTATTTTACATTTTTATATTTTTTAATGGCTTATTTCTCAAAAAGACGAAACGGTGTGTTAAAATTGTCTTTGACAACAGTTTATGAACATTCTATGATCTAATATTTGTTTAGTATTTACAAGTCTAAAGTTGAGCAAATGTAGTGTTTCGACTGAGAAATAAGCCTTTTATAGAATGCATTTAATTTTAGTATTTATAAATAGTGAAAAGTTTGCATTTTAAAAATTCATAACTTTATTTGACATGTTCATGTTTAGAATTAATTATGTAGTTAAAATGACACATAAAGTACTTTTTAAAAAAAAAACAACATATAAATTCAAAAAAATGTAACTATTTAATTGGTGTTGGAATTATCTGTAATGCAGATACTTTGCTAAAGATTTCTTTAGTGGTCGTTTAGTAGTGCATCAATCAATGCACAAGGATTTCATTTATCGAATCTTTTTAATTTATTAAGAGTGCAAAACAGTTTATTTCTGCTTGATTTTGAGCCAGGCAATGAGAAAGCCCTTGCAATTAAAATTAAGTGCCCAAAGAGCAGAACTAAGCCCCAGTGAGTGATATTCCTAAACAAAAGAGTCCCCCACCTGGAAATAACGACTTTGCTATCCGGACCTTTGCCAGCTATTAATCACCCAGTATCCATTCACGCCGCAACCATTCCCCCTTTCCCCCCCCCCCCTTCAAACTGGGATTATATCGATTCCACTCTGAGGGGCAGCAACAAATGATTTCCAAAAGGTTCAATCGCTTGAAAATGAAAAAAAAAAAAAAAAAAACATACACAAACTGCGGTTCCCAAAGTCGAAAAACGTTCCAACGGTGTTCCATTTTGGAAAGATTACCAATATCTTGCATTAATGCTCCTGCTTTTGTAAACTGCATCTGTCGTTATCTTTGAATGAAGTAATTATTTACAATGTTGTTGAAAAAAACAATCAAAATTATTTGTATGTTACTAAAATTGAACGAACAGGATTAACAATACTTTATGAATATGTCAAGTAATAGACTTAGGTAGACAAATATTTACAAATTGTTTTAAATTATGAAATAAAACAAAGAGTGAAATACTTTCATAATTGTTAGACTAAATCAATGAAATAGAAATTATAATAATTAATATTGTAGAATAGTCATGTAAGATCTTACATCTATAAAATCTCATTGCTATCTTAAGACTGAATCAAGTGTGTAAAAATATGTTTGGATATTCTTGATTTAATCTTGAGAAAGTAAAATATACCGGTATTTTACCAAAACGGTATACTTTATTATAATATTTTATTATGATTGATTTAATCAAATCACTAATAAGAATATTAAATTATTTTATTCGTTTAAAGCTGATTTTGAAGCTTTTGTATCGGAGAAAAGTTTTTTTCTAAAAACGAGAATAATTGCACCAAAGTAAAAATCGAATGACATTTGAAAAAAAAATTGGCATAATAAATTTTCTTTGTTACTGATCAAAGGCAAGTCAATTATTTTTAAATATCACAGTGAAACTTTAAACCTGAAGTGTAAAAATTGATTAGGATTTTTTTCTTTTTTTTTTACTGTCACAAAATGTATCGCTTGATACATTTTTTTAAATCTAATTTTGATACTACTATTATCCTTGCCGACAGCAGAGTTATTGGTTGTCAGTATTCCTTAAAAGAAAAAAAAAACTTAAAAGATCATTACAAGCAACAATTAAATAAAAAATTAAATTAAATTAGCTGTTTTAATTTCATTAAAACCTTTCTTGAACAAGTTGAATGTCTTACCGACGACTGCAATGCAAAGAAATTACCAATGCTAACCAGACATCCACTCGAGTTTTCAAAGAAACAGAATATTAAATACAAATTCTGATTTGCATACTCTTGCATATACTCATCTCGAGCTTTCTTCGGCGAAATTTTTACTTAAATGGAAATTGGTCTTACAAGAGAAGCGATGCTCTTCGAGGTTTCGGTCATTAGCGGGCGATGTCGTGATCAAGTCTTCCGTGACCGGGCCATCTCATTAGGATTTCTCATTGTGCCGAGGATAAGATCAGTATCTTCGGCCTTCCATCAATCTGCCCCTTTCTCCAGAAACCTGGGCCGTATTGTCCGAATCTCAACCAAACCGCTTGATATCGATTTAAAAATAATAATGATAATAAGTATAAAATATAAGTAAATATCTACACACACATATATATATATATATATATATATATATATATATATATATATATATATATATATATATATATATATATATATATATATATATGTATAGTTGGATATCCCCATAGAGACGTCAAGCGGACCATTATGAGGCGGACCTGTCCAAGAGAGGTGGTGGGTAATTTCCCGTAAAGAGATCAGGGTTAGGGCCTTAAGGCTATTTAGCTTCACTCACCTAACGTCAGCTCTTTTTTTGCTATAGCTGCGGTATTTCATTTCCTTCTATTATCGATTTTCCTTATTTTATTCAATAATAATATATATATATATATATAAATTCATAAATATATACATAAATTCAATAGTTCAGCAATTCAACAATACCATAGTTATTTTAATAAATAAATTTCAAGCCATAAAATTAAGACATCAACTGTTTAGGTTTCGGATATTAATTAAATATTCCTACACAGAGTCTTAAGTCTATCATAAACCAATAAATAAATAACCACCTAACTCAAGGTATTTCAAGGACATAAAAAACATCTCATATCGACAACATAAAAAAGAATAAATTAATTAAATTATCAAATCACTTTTATCTAAAATTATTGTCATTAAGCTGACATACGACAAATAATTGTTTTGAGGGTTTTATCAACATAACATCAAAAATACTAATTAACATCATCGCTAAAGTATTAATTCCTTCATTATTTATTATAATACGTTGGGTTTAACTTGAATCTCGGGATGTTTCGTTATGTGTAACCCCATATCTTCGTTAATTCTTTATCAAAGCCAATGACTGAGCCATAAGTTTGAAGATTATCTTTTCTTTAAGGTGGAAAAAATAGTTACATATCATCGAAATTTCAGGAATAAAAGTATTGAGGAAAAAAAAATCTTTATTTGCTCAGAAATTAAAGATTACAAACTTGATTCATTTAAATATCATCGAAATCAAACCAAAGATTTAGCCAATTGTAATTTAAGAATAATAATATTGTTTAAACTAATTGACAATAAATCTGGCTAGATGGCCTATTATAATAAAGAGTAACTACAATATAACAAATAAAATGAGTATATACATACTTTTGGAGAATATATTAAAGAAAGCAGGTGGGTTGGATTAATTTATATGGACTAACGAATTTAATTTAAAATTGTTTTATAATTGAAAAATTATGACTACAATGCCAGATTACGTTTGTTTTGATTAGTTTTTGTAATTACATATATACCTTCTGAACATTGTAGAAGCAATGATGATTTCAAAAATACTCGTATTACTCGAAGCCGTTTTTATTACGATAAAAGAACAGGAAAAAGGAAATCAAATTGGTATAATTGTTTCGCATCAGCTACACTTTATCATTCATAGCTTTTACGATCGATAGAGCCCTAAGTATAGGCTTCTTTGGAAGGAAAGTACAATTTTATACAGCTTTTCACAGTAATTTAGTTTCTCTAGGAAGGACAAAAATAAAAGGAATAAATATTTTATTTGCTAACGCGGAATTTTTTTTTTTTTTTTTTTTATATTTTGCTGAATAATAATAAAAGACATTTATTCTAATGTAAATAGATAATTTTAAAAACGAAATATACGTAGCCTGAAACTAATTCATGTTTATTGTTATATATATGATATTTAAAAAGTGAATAATATCTGTATATCATTTTAAAATAAAAATATTTATTATAATTATCACTCTATTCTTTAATAATGACTGTATTACTCATAATAACAATGCTGGTAGTAAATATAAATATTATTTTATATTTATTTGTATATCACATATTAATATTACGTCCATACATATTTTTATACAAACCTGCTCTAAATAATGGATTTGTTTGTAAAAATTTTAACTGGATAACTACCGACATTAGGTATAATGTATAAATATGATATAATCAACCTTTATTTGAAAAGTAATAATGATAACAATAATTAATTTACATAAATTAATTAAATATTTGTTGAACAAATCGATATTTGATTTGAGACGAACCAATCTCTGATCTGATATTTTTTTGGGGCTTTAATAATATTAATTTGAAATAAATGCTACGTGATAATCCGTGGCTGATTTTTTTTTCCAATGAAAAGATATTTCCCTTTATTGTTTCTGTGGTCGTGTCAAAAAATATAAAGTTAAAAATAATATCTCTCATTTCTTGAAAAATACAGAGTGTCTCTTTCGGGCACAGTAAAAAAAAAAAAGAGTGTAATAAGCCAGGCTTGTGTTGTTCCAGTAAAGTCAACATCAATCAGCAATCGAATGGGCTTTGTTCCTGAAAAGTTCTTTTTTTCCTCTTGTCGGGACTGAACTTTCATTAAGTTCACTGAAGCGAGCTGGGAGGGGGTTAGGGGCATTCAGACCACAATTTATATTGCAATGTAGGCTAAATTGTTACCCGTTTCTCCGTAATTGATTTTCAACTTTGCATTGGATAAATATAGGAATTTATACTTTCAACATAACATTCAAGGTGTTGAATCGGGTTTTAAAATAAAATGATATTTTTATAATTTTTTCAATGTTTTTCATTCCTTATCACAATACTACTGTTTACTAATACTTTTTTAAAACTATTGAAATTTTATTTTTACTCAATTATCAGTTTTTCATCTAAAAAAAAACTTTCGGTAATTATAACAAAATTCATATCGTTCGATTTGTATTGAATGATAACATTCTACGTTTGTATTAACTCAATCACTGAACTTACCAAATATACTGTATTTTCTATATAATATATAGAAAATATACTTACTAATGGTTTTACATACCATATACATCAATGAACTGCCCTTTTCAATGCTTTTCCGAATATATGAGAAAAATTACTTGGAATTTTCTTCGAGTTGTTTCCCCCTCACGGCGAAGACGCCATCAGAAGCTGAAGATATTACAATAGCAGCCTGATTGAGGGACTATCGACCAGAACTCCATTAAACTGTCGAAGCTCCGATATTGGGAGCTGGGAATAGTCCCCCAGGAACGATTGTCTGAGAGTCAACAGCAATCAGTAGAAGGGCTACTTCAAAACCCGGATAAAAGCTTTTGTGCCTCCCTGGATGGATTTTATAGATAGCTGATAAAACTGCAATGCATCATTGTATTTCCTGTTACAATGTAAAAAGATATTTTATTTCATGTATTTTAAATATTATTTTTTCCCAATGTTATACACATGTTAAATTTCGTATTATACAGAATATATTTTAATAGCATTTATCCTTTAACTTTTTAAGATAATAACGTTTTTCTATTTTCCTGATCAGATTTAATGCTAGTGAGATATTATTACTAACCAATGCCTTTTTTAAAATCTATATAATTACTAATTGCTCCGAGAGCGACAAATAATACCCGACCAACCTACAGAAAATCAAATGAAACTACTAAATGTTATGTTTTATTAAAGTTCGTACAGAAAATAAGATTTTTAATGATTACAGTTAGAAATAGTCATACAATACAATACATCACTTATAACCTTATTTTATTTTTTTTTTTTATAGGGTACGCGGGGGAGCTGAGCCAGTACACAGCTTACCTACCGAGGGAAAGCCCACCATGCTACGCCACCCTCCAACCAGCTCGCCCCAAGTCGCTGTCCATGTGCTACACCTCGACGGGAGCTGCGCTATCCCTGCCGCCGAAGAAGAAGGACATCTACAGGCCGTACTCCCTCGACGACCGGCCCAGCTGGCGTCCCGCGGAGGAAGACCTCAGCGCGGCTCACGCCATCCTAGACCTCAGTGCCTCTACACCCGCCCCCGTTGAGAAGCCACCCCCTTCCAAGACGGTTGCCTACACCTATGAAGCTTTCTTTGTTAGTGACGGCCGCTCCAAGAAACGAACTGTCGAGGTGACCACAGAGTCTAAGCAAAGGTACACCTGCTCCGAGTGCGGCAAACAGTACGCGACCTCCTCTAATCTGTCGAGGCACAAACAAACTCATAGAAGCCTCGACTCCCAGTCGGCCAAGAAATGCTTGACCTGCGGTAAAGCATACGTTAGCATGCCAGCCCTCGCTATGCACCTTCTGACGCACAAGCTGTCACACGCTTGCGGAGTTTGCGGGAAGCTGTTCTCCAGGCCGTGGCTGCTCCAGGGACACCTCCGCTCGCACACCGGGGAGAAGCCGTACGGGTGCGCCCACTGCGGGAAGGCCTTTGCAGACCGGTCCAACCTGAGGGCACACATGCAGACCCACTCGGTCGACAAGAACTACCAGTGCAACAGGTGCCACAAGACCTTCGCCCTCAAGTCCTACCTCAACAAGCACCTCGAGTCGGCCTGCATCGAAGGTGAGAAAGTGCCCTAATTGTCATCGAAACAGCGGAAACTGCACCGTCCACACAACAATAGTTCGTCCATATATTTCTCTCTACTTCATCTAAGAGGACATTATGTGCATGTCACATTATTTAACTTACTAGTCACTCTATTTTAGTCGCTTATATTCACTATTTTACTGTACTTATTTGGTAGCGGTGATCTGACCTGAGTTTTGAATTTATATTATAGTTTATATTTTTAAGGTTTATAATATCTTGGTTCTTTCCTTCAAAATGTTTCGCAAGACAACGAATCTTCATGCAATACTCGAAATCTAGTCATCGAAAAGTCTAGTCATATTTCATTAGCTAGTCAAAGATTTTAGGATAAGATTGTTCATTTGATTTATTGTATTCCCATATGAGCCTGGGGATGATTATCCTCTAAATATATTTTACTTTTACTTTTTGTTTATATTTTTCCAAATCGGAAATTTCTTCTTTCTTTTTTTTTAGCATTTGATGCGCACTCATAGTGCCCGGCTAGCTCACCAAAGATTAAGTTAGGGTTATGATATTCTAGTCACATAAAATATCTAGTCGTTTTTTCTAGTCAACATTTTTCTGCACTGATTTTTTTATCTAATCTAGTCACACGAAGCCTTCTAGTCATGAGCCTAGTCCGACAGCTTAAGTTAGTAATTATTGAATCTAGTCATTAGTTTTAAAGATCTCATTAGTATTCATACAATGAATCTCCAGACTTCGAGAACATTCTCATTAGTTTGTAGGCGCGGTATTAAAAACACCACTTAGTTCGTAAGTGACTTTCTAGTCAGGGATGAGTAAGTCTAGTCAAACCTAGTCATCTAAGCGATATTGGCAAAAACCACATATTGCATGTACATATATACATAAATATATATAAACTAAAGTTTAAGGAAATCGTGTGCAATATAAATACTACTAGTCTTGTAAATATATAAATATTTATTATAATTTATTTCATGTATTTAATTATTATTTATTCTTTTATTTATGATCCCTACGTCAGGTGGTTGGCTTTTTGTGTCGTGTCGTACTCTACTTTTTCTGTCCTTTCTCGTTTCGCAAAGAGCTGAGCTCCGTCTTAAGGACGTTGTGTACTATGCTTTTCTCATCTTTTTTCTAACCTCTTCATTCTCTTGTCTCGTCCACTATTCTATCTGATCGTGCCTTCTTGTCTTTATCTGTCTGTGTGTGATATTCTTGTTAAGATGTAGAAGTAGCTGTGTTGTGTCTTGTAAAATCGGTCTTCTTTTTTTCCTCAACCTAATTGACTCTTTCATCTTCTAGACTCAGTGTGTCTTCTAGCAGCCCACTCCACTTTCGCTTCGAAGCTTTCCTTTTCCGTGTTGATTGTTTAACCGTCCTGACAGGGAATGATAAAAACGAGTGATATCTAGTCAAAATATTACCGTGGTAATAAAGTCATAAATGGTTCCCACTTTCCACGCTATATTGTACATAGGTACCTAATAATATTTCTAATGATCTCTTAATCTAAGTCAGTATTTTAAGTAATAGATTATTTATAGCTTAAGTGAAAATATTATTTATATGATGTCTGATATGGGGTATGGCCAGTTTTCCTTTATTTTTGGAAAATTAGTTATTTCCTTCCGAACTCTAGTCATTATTTTACTTATTTCTTAAGATTTAAAATTAGTATTCTCCGCGGCATTGTACTTAAATGTTTTAGGGTTTTATTTGCTGAAAATAGGATCCATGGTAATTATAGTTTTCTTCTAGCTCTTCTATTCAAAGTAAGCAATAATTTGTCATATCTTAAAATTAGGAGACTGTTAACAGGTGATAAATGGGTGTATGAATGGAAATTTTATTTTATATTTTATGATAAGTGTTTACGTCAAACGTTCGATGGCAATAATTGAGAGGGGGCATTCCGCCTAGCGTAATCAACGAATTGCGAAAACGAAATCAATAAAGCAATATTAACAACGAACTTAGTTCTATATGACCTTACGATACTCAGAGCAATATTGGATGCCCTTTCCGAGCCTATAGTATTCCAAAGCAATAATAAATGTAGCCTAGTTTGTAAGTGGGGCAGGGTTTGGATCAAACCCTGATACTCCGCCTAGATATTAAGACTAAGAATAAGAAAATTTGGACAACATTTATAAATAGTATTAGTCAAGTAAGCCTTAGCTAATATAAACTATATCTAAGTCATTTTAGTTGAAACTCAGGTCATTTCACTGCTATTGCACTACTTCATAAGATCTTAGAATTAATTTTTTATTGTATTTAATTTAATTTTTTTTTAGTAAAGTTTATTTACAGTATTACTGTTTTTTTTAATTGTAAATTTAGTAATTATTACAAAAATATTTATAGCTACTTAAGTACATGATTGGCATGCATATAACTATGTCATTAAAGCTTAATACAGGAGTGAGCTGGTGGAGTTGTATTATATTTGTTAAGGAAATATTTAATGATTATTTATTGTATGTATTAGGATTGCATATAGTCTTTGAATTTGGTACATATTCGTAGTTTAATTTTTTTTCTCTCTATTTTTTAAAAATTATTTTCTCTTATTGAATTTATGTTATTTACAACACTACTTTTGTATATTAAGTTATGGAATACGTTCAAACATTGTTGATTTAGATATTGTAATAATTGTACATTTTTGTCACATGATCATGTATGTGTATGTGTATACTAGTCTTGGTTTTTTTCCTAATTTTGAATTTATTTATATTATATTTATTGACAATTGATATTTTATTATATTTATTTAAAAAGCAAATAGGCTCGCAAGCCGCATAGGACTCCAAAATTACAGCAACGAGCAATTGTTTAGAGTGTGCTCAAAATTTAGAGTACTCATTAGGTTATGGTTAGAAATCATTTTGTATACTATATACTCTTCCCTATATACCAGAACTATATATATATAAATATAAATAAAAAAATTATATAAAACATCAACGAATAACAACTAGGAACATAGCATAACAATTTAGCTGGGCAGTAGCAACTATGTAATAAAAAAAACAAAAAAAAAAAACATTCAAGAGCACTGTATTGTTGAAGAAAATTCACATGGCACTGAATAAAAAAATTCACATTCTAACCGAAAAAAAAATAGTAAAAAGCAATTTTTGTAACATATTATTATATTTTCGTAATAAATAGTAATTGAAATTGAGCCCAATACAAAACAATGTTTTATTTTTATACCTCGTTCCTCTCTCGGTGTTTTGTCGACCTGGTTTCATTGTGTCTTAACCATAGCGGGTGTTCTGACAAAACCTTTACTCATCCTTTCTACCTGTCATCTTCTTTTATATTATGTTCTCATAGTTGTATTTGTAATTTATTTTGTTCAGTTGTAATATATTCATGCTAAATAACTCTTTGGTTCCTATGATATTGAAATTTATTTATGTAAATAAAATATTTAAAATATATTATGAAACGTTTAAGTTTTAAAACAACCCTTGTCCTTTGATTCCGAATATGAATATCTGTTTTCCCTAAAGACTACTTTAATTAAAGTATGTTTGAAAAAGAAGAGTATTATTTTTCTCTGATATGTATTCTGAGGGATAAACTCATTGAGGATTACTAATGAATTTAATATACTTATAGACATGCTCTTATATATATTTTGTATCAATCACTAATTATATTGAACAATTAAATAAAGTAAGTATGTTTGTTAGGGTTGAATATTATTTGTGTTATTTTGGGAATGGATAGTAATTGAATTTTCCTAAATGTAGGAAATAGAAAAATCAGCGGAATCTGTGGAACTGATCTGAAGGATCAGAATGGATTTTTTAATGAATCGAAAAATATGAAAATAGAAGAGAATGTAACCAAGGTGGACTAATAAAAAAAAATTATAATTTACACTTAAAGAAGAAGAATAAAAAAAAAAAAAAATCAAAATAAGCACAATAGATTTGTTTGTCCATAAAGTCACTTATGGGAACATATTTAAATTAGCTCTAGAAATTAGTCATTTTCTTGATTTATTGGTGGGAGGAAATGTATGAAATGATCAGTCGTAGAAAATTTAGGAAGCCCACAACATCAAAAAAATATATTATCTGAAGTACTGTAGTTATAACAAGTAGTTATAAATACATAAATCCTAAAAACATATTCCTAAAAGTTAATCTTTTGAATTAAAAAAAAAAAAAAATTTCCAAACTGCTAAAATGGATTATTTTAGCTAAGAAAACTCTTAATCCCGGAATTTACACAAACAAAGAAAAATGGCTAGAAAATATTCACTAAAATCGTGAATCAGGATGTTGTGTATGGAAAAATAGGCCGCGTTACAGACTCCTTTTTTTATGGAATTATTATCATCCGACTATAACTTCATGAGTAGCTGCATCATATTGTAACATATAACTTTTTCAAGTAAGAAAAATTATTTAAGTTTTAATTAATTAAAGCAATTAATTTAATGAGATGTTGAAAATTCTTCAATACCCATTTTCTTTTTATTTTAATCATAAGATCATTTGGTCACAAAAAAACAAGAACAAGATTTGACCTACAAAAATATTGAGCCTAATTTGGCCTGTATAACTTCGATGTTTTGACACGTTAGGAGTTAAGGTAACGCCTGACGGCTTAATATTTTTGAAGACCACCAAAACTATTGATCACCATAAGGTGTTTAACATTTTATTTATCTTCTGATTTATATTATTGCAATATTCTTCAATGAATCCCATCTAAACAAAGTAAACTACCATCAATAATTGCATTTATAAAATTATACGCGATACTATACTAAAGTTATAACTTGTAATAAAATATATATATAGTAAATTAATGAAAAACTTTAAGTTATATTTCAATTAAGCTAGAGATAAAACGAAGTAAAATCTGGTATGAATACAAGGAAAAATAATTCACAACCTTACTTATTGTTAATTATTATCCGCATGGATGATGATAATACGAAAATGAATTACTCTCATTTGTTGAGGATTAATGCATTAAATCAGTAATATCAAATATCAAAATAATTACTTAATTTAGCTTGGGAAAGCATCAGCAAGGTAATCGGAACGTTAAATGGATTATCTTTAAGCCTGAAAATACCGATATCTGAGAATGGTGTTTATTTATTAAAGTAAGGGGACAAGTTAATTAGTTGCAGAACTATAAAAACTACAAATTAATCTATGTGATTAGGATAATATATTTAACAAAATTGTTTTCAAAATGAATAGAGGAGTAAATAGTACTTGCAATATTTACATATAAAAAGTCATGAGAAAAATAAAACAATTTAAAAGCTGTTGAGTTATTCTATTTTAAAAAATCTGGTACGCGCAACACACAACTTTCACTTTCCGCTCTACTTTGAATAGAAATTATTGTCTGGCAATGCTGGGCTATTATAAAATGTTTTTGAAGTGCATTTTAAACAGAGCTAAAGCTTAAAGCTTACAGATAACAAGTCATTAAGACCATTACAATTACAAAATGTCTATTTAATATATCGACGGTAGGCAATAAAAATCAAGTCACTCCATCTGCTTTTAAAAACCACACAACTTTCTTTGCTTTTATAAACCACAGAATGACTAACTCCAATTTCAATTGGATACATTTTTGAGTAGTATCAATTTAGTGATATTTTTAGTTGCAAAAGTTATCTATGCAGACAGTGAGTAAGTTGATTCCGGAGGTGGTGATTGCAGTGTTGAGATATATAACTGAGAATAAAGGTATAAATTTAGGTACTTATTTCTTATGAAAGATGTTCAGAGAGTAAGATACTTGATTAAATATCTGTAGAAAAAAAGTTTTTTTAGTCTCAACAATTAAAAAAGTATATTTTAAATTTATAAAAATTTTCGCCTATTCAGGAGAAAAAACTTCAGACAATATCTTTCCTCCTAATTGTCCGCATTTAACGCATTTTTTTTTTTTTTTTTTTTAAGGAAATTCCATAAAATTTTATAAAATATCCTCAAAAAATGTATACTTTTTGAGTTATTCGGAATTTAATTTTATCATCCCTCGTAACTTTTTTTCCAGCTTATTTTCGTTGAAGTATATTATATAGATAAATTGAGAGGGTGTCGTGAAAATGACTTTAGCGAAGTTTCATTGTAATCGGTATATTCGTTTAGGCGCTACAGTCTATAGCAACGCAGGTTTTTCTGCATTTTTTTTCTCCTTTATTAACTTATCAAATTCTTTCAGACACACACAAAGACCATTTTGCGACACTTGGTTATGGACTCAGGGACTTCAAAACATGTATTTCCGTTGAAAACTGAGATTCGAAAATTTTCACGATCGCAATACTTACCGTTACTATATATACGTAAGTGAAAGTAAAAAAGGAATGAATTTCCAACCTGCATTTGTATCTCCGCTTTACATGTGTTTTGATATTAGTTACACCAATTATCTACATTACAATTTGATACGAGGGGAATTTGACGGTTTAGTAGAGCTCCAAAGCTCGATCCCGTAAGTCCAAATAGGCCTTACTATAGTAATATATATGAGTCTTTTGTAAATAGTTGGAAGTTTAGAGTGTTTGTCTAGTAAGTGCTGCAGCGGTCGAAAACGTCGGGCTGTTTCTAGTCATTTCAATCTGATATGAGTGTTCCAAGTGTTGTCAAGAGTTTGTCCAGGTGGAGTCCTAGGTAGCGGATTTGTTCAACAGGGATAAGTGGGGTATTGTTAAAGGAAACTGTAGGACAGGAAGTCATAGGTTTACGACGAAGAGTAAAGGTAATTTGATAGGATTTATTGGAATTTATTTTAATCCTCCAGTTTTGATACCATTTTTCAAGAGTTGTGATGTGTGATTGAAGAGTTTCGGATGCAATAGACGAATCGCTATTAACTGATAGGATACATGTATCATCGGCATAGGTGTTGATGACAGTGTTGGAGTGGTATGAAACGTATTGTTAGAAAAACCTAGAAATTTTTAGAAAATTAACACAATATGGGTTGAATTGCCATTGTCTACATAACTTATTACTTCCACGCTCTAGTAAATTGATGTTCCTGAGTTTTTAGTACCTTATGACAACTGCTTTAAACATCTTTCAAATAGTTTTATTTTCATTATGACGTTTTATATGTATGTATTGTAATACCCAAATGTCTACTCCAACTACTAGTGAATGAATTATTTTCCTACCAATTTCCTTAAATATATAATCCTAATTACATAGATTTTTTAGCAGTTTTCAAAATTTGCAATCAGTTAACTTGATCCTTTAGCTTTATGCTCTTCACATGATGTATTTACATAATGAAGAGAAGAATAGTTGGTGTGATCAGTCAAATAAGAAGGCAAAAATCAATTATAATATTTATTTTGTCATTTGACTTATCATTTATTTTTGCCTTCTTATTTGACTGATCACCCCAACTATTCTTCTCTTCATTATTCTCTTCATTATACATTGGCAGATTCGACTTTTTTTTTATACAAAAACCCAGAGCTTATTTTTAAGAAAAATTTAATCTATTTTTTTACTTAAAATTGTATATTAATACTGTTTTACCACTGTATATAGTTTTAAGTGTCTTGTCATAGTTTTAGGGGTTTTGTGTATAGTTTTATTTATTTTGTTTACAGCATGTTTAATTAATGTTTTATTCACTTGTTTCTTTTATTTTTATTGATTTTATTTTGGCCGGATGTAATCTTTTATTTTGTACTATTTTGATATTCTTAAGGGACATCGTCCAAGAATAAAGATTTTTTCTATTTGTCTACTAAATAAACGGCATTCCCAGATATCGTTATTTTAATATATAATATGAGAAGGAGTTGGTCGGGGGGTGCGGTCAAATAAATACTAAATTGTTAAAATAGTATTTTATTCTTTACGCTGACGTTTCGACCCACTTAGTAGGTCTTCATCAGGGCTACAAAAGATACAAAGAAAAGGTTCATAGTGATAATAAAGTAAATGAATTATTAGTAGATATTAAATAAGAAACAGTTGTGTGATAAAGAAATAATAAGGTGACATCAGTGATATAGTGGGTGATAGTGTAGTTAAAATATCACCTATTATATATATATATATATATATATATATATATATATATATATATATATATATATATAAGATATAAACAAAAATTGTATAATAAAGAAAAATACAAATTGTATTTTGTTTGTATCTTCTAGATATATATAATACTTGATATTTTAACTACACTATCACTATATCACTGATGTCATCTTATTATTTCTTTATCAGGAAACTGTTTCTTAAATGATATCTACTAATAATAATTTATTTTATTTTTCGTATGTACCTTTTATTTGTATCTTTTGTAGCCCTGATGAAGAATTACAAAGTGGGTCTGAACTGCGGCGTAACGAATAAAATACTATTTTAACAATTTAGTATTTATTTGACCGCACCCCCGGATCAACTTCTTCTCAAATTATATTACGATTCAAGTAGAAGGCAAATGTGTCTTTCAATAACAAATAGGAAAATGTTTACCGATATTTCGATTGAAAATTACCCAGTTCCGAGTTAAATAAAAAGATTGAAGGTTATGTAAAGGTGAAGCTATTCACGATGTTT